ACTCCAAGTTTTCGATGATATCCCAAAGATCCAATAAGACAAAGAACAGTTGCATTTGACTTCTCCAAAATTCGCAACGCTCTCCGCCAAAGTTTGAAACTTGACTTAGTTATTATGTGAATAAAGACGCTTCTGAATTTGAATTCAATTGTGAGAAAGAACTGGACTGATACGACTTAAGGTCATTTTCTGAACAACAAAGATTGTTGGAAATATTTTTCCTTTAGTGCTAGAATTATTTTGAACAAGTTGCTTCAGACGTTAAGCCTTTGTCCTTTAGCAAAAAAAAATTCAATACTTTAAATTGATCTAACACTAATATCTAATTTGTTGGGTGTTTATTAAGGATGAAAACAGGGCACGAATTCTCTTATTAATGGGGAACGGGTTGAGGACTTCCTTTTCTAGATTAATTTAATTTAGATTAAGATAATCGAGAAAAATAGGTATTCAATGAAATGCATTAATAAACTGACGATATCAAAATTAAATTTATATGTCATGACTCATGATTCATGATAATATTTCAAATAAAAAATTTAAAGCATTCATAAGTAATAAATTAACAATTAATTTTGACCCAAAAATATACTCAAAAATTAAATTAAAAATTAATTGAGCACGAGCCCAATATTTAATCTACGCCTTGGGCACAAATAATCAAAAGGATCCAAACAACCATCTTCTTCTTTCTTTAAAAAAAAAAAAATGCTTCCAAGCCATCGGAATCCGTCACCGTACCTACGAAAAAATATTGGACCTGATCCATAAAGATTCGACTGGATCTATATAGTGGGTTGCACAACTCCGCGCTACGTAGAGGTCCGTCCAATTTTTTTTTTTTTATTTGTTCTTGATCTTCGTCAAGTTCGATCTTCAACCCTCCAATCAATAGACAAGAAACCCCAAAATTGCAAGAATTACAAAATTACAAAATCTTACTTCCCAATTTTGGACTTACCATTTTGAATTAATTGTAATATATAATTAAATCATGGTGATGGAATCATAATTCACATATCTTGTTACAGACTCAAAATACCGAATTACAATTAGGAATCATGACCACAAATAATCTAATCATAGTTTAAAATAATAATCCTTTAATCATCATATAATCAATTAATCGTA